TAAATAGTGTAATACAATCTATACTATATATAAAAACAAAATCCTGGAATTTTAACTTTACGCCCAATTCCTAAAAAATCTCTCTTCCTAATAAAATATATTGATTTCTACATTCTCATTCGTACAATAATTCTGCGTTAAAATTCTATTCTAATATTATAAAATAGTGTAATACAATCTATACTATATATAAAAACAAAATCCTGAAATTTTAATTTCACGCCCAATTATTAAAAAATCCATCTTCCTAATAAAATATATTGATTTCTACTTTCCCATTCGTACAATAATTCTGCGTTACAATTCTATTCTAATATTATAAAATACTGTAATACAATCTATCTATACTATATATAAAAACAAAATCCTGGAATTTTAACTTCCCGCCCAATTCCTAAAAAATCTCTCTTCCTAATAAAATATATTGATTTCTACTTTCCCATTCGTACAATAATTCTGCGTTACAATTCTATTTTAATATTATAAAATAGTGTAATACAATCTATACTATATATAAAAACAAAATCCTGAAATTTTAACTTCTCGTCCAATTCCTAAAAAATCTCTCTTCCTAATAAAATATATTGATTTCTACTTTCTTCTTAATAAAATATATTGATTTCTACTTTCCCATTCGTATAATAATTCTGCTTTAAAATTCTATTCTAATATTATAAAATAGTGTAATACAATCTATATCTATACTATATATAAAAACAAAATCCTGGAATTTTAACTTCCCGCCCAATTCCTAAAAAATCTCTCTTCCTAATAAAATATATTGATTTCTGCAATAATTCTGGGTTAAAATTTTATTGTAATATTATAAAATTGTGTAATACTATTCATACTCTAATCTATATTTATTTCATATATCAGTGTTGCAAAAATCGTGTCGCTGGCCGCAGAGAGGAAGGCCAGAATCGGCCTCCTCAGCGGCCGCCTCGCCGGCTGAACCGGCCTTTAATTTTTTTATTTTTTATTTTTAAGTTGTAAAGTGTCAAAAGTTCGGCAAGGCATAATTTTTGACTCCGTTGTCCGTTTTGGACAAATATTTTTTTGAAATCGCGTATTTTTTCAAGATCTATCCACTGCAAACAGCCGTAGGCGGTTTGGCCCACCAATTTCTAAAAAGAAATAATTTATTAAAGAGTTTCTAAGAAAAAACTATGAGAACCTTATGTTTTATTATGAATTTTTAAAATTTTTAATTAAACAATTGTCATGTGTATTATTTAATAATCTTTCTTTATAATTTGTCAAATTATTTAATTATGGTAAATTTGAGAATAATTAATGATGGTAATAGAAATCCTAGAAGAATATAGAATTGAACAATATTTAATTATTGTGACTCACGGAATACAAGAGTTAATGCCATTTTTGGTCCTAGACTTATTGAGGCATTGGCACTTTTCATCCTCCATAATAAAAATTGCCACTTAGTAGCCACTGTTATTGATCGTTGGACAGTTTTGATCCTCCGTCAATGACGTCGTTTGTTTACCGTGAATTAGAATGGTTTTTCTGTCTTTTTATGTTCTAATCCTTGTATTTCTCCATCCATTGATCACTGCTACATCCATTTCTTCAAACTGAAGTTATCCGCTTCAGTCCTTTCTAACATTAAGAAACCATCTTCACCCAACTAACAATCACGAATTTTACATTTGACATCAATCTCAAGATAATGGAAACAAGTGCAGTTGGAATAGAAAGGGCGTTAGTCCATGCCTGTGGAAATTTTGTCGAGCATACAACATAACTAGCAAAGTCAGGAATATCACCCAACCCCTCCCCTAACCTTTCTGCATCAACTATAATAGGTATGCCCCTACTCTTTGCCTCCTGCACTACAATCAAAGCAGTCTCATGCAGCCTTCCATCTAAGTAGACAATATTTACTCCAAGCGCTAAAGACAATTTTGATTTGGGTATGTAAACCCTCAGATATCATGGGTGGATATCCTGGAGTGAAAATGCACGTGCGAGTTTTTTTTTTTTTTTGGTTGTCAACAATGACATATGTGAATGGTGAGTTTCCTTCTTTGGGGAGCGGCGGATTCCACATTTTTAGCTTGAAACTTCAATGAATTTCACGTAAAATAACATAGTAGAGTTTTTGAGGTTCTGCACCAAGTAGTTGTGGTCAGAGAGAGAGAGAGAGATGGGAAGGATATTTGTGGTCAATATGGAAGGGAGGACTTACAGGTGCAAATTCTACATCACGTCATCTACAACTACAACTGCTATTTACCATAGGAGGGTTCGCCGACTTGCTGCCCTCTCTTCTTCGCCGGAACCAAAAACCACTGGTGAAGGCCCCAATCTCGCCGGATCTGTTGATGCACCGCCAGATCTGCCTTACTGGTCCGTCGCCGGAAGGAGTTACTGCCTCGTATGCTCGCCGTCGTACACACAACTCGCCGGAGAAGAACCTCGCTGCTACTCACTACCGACGGTTACTACTTAGCCGCCAAGTCTTGCCATCTTGCGTCACAGGAGTCACAACAGCGCTGGTCTAAACAAGATTAGAAGAATAAGACATAAAAAGACAGAAAAGCCCTTCTAATTCACGGTCAACAAACGACTTCATTGACGGAGGATCAAAACTGTCCAACGACCAATAACAGTGTCTACTGAGTGGCAATTTTTATTATGGAGGATGAAAAGTGTCAATGCCTCAATAATTCTAGGACCAAAAATGACATTAACTCCAGAATACAATACAAGAATATTTAATTATGGTTATATTATTATTGTGCCTCACGACCATTATATACTAACAGTACTTGAAAAGAAGCTAATAATAATAATAATAATAATAATAATAATAATAATAATAATAATAATAATAATAATAATAATAATAATAATAATAATAATAATAATAATAATAATAATAATATAATAATAATAATAATAATAATAATAATATAAGTGGTAATAATAATATCTAAAAGTAATTAAGTGTTAATAATAATAGTAAGAATATTAACGTAAGAGTTGTAACATAGAATAAATTGTAATAATTAATAACTATAGTCTAGGATTAAATTTGAAATTGTCAGGAAAGATAAACGACCTCGGGTGAAATTAACTCTTAAATAATTATATATCGATTTAAATATTCTTAATATATTACAACAATTCAATTCTGTGCATCGCACGGGTGAAAATACTAGTTATAATATAGTAGAAAATAGGAATTAATATTATTGGTAAAGTATATATTAGTTGAAATTGAACTTATCTTTAGTAAATCTTTTTTTTTTTACACTTCCGAAAGATTCTTTTGAGCCTTCAACATGTGTGCATGTGCACATACAGAACTATAAACTGTCATTTTTAGATTGAATTCATCTTTCATGCGTAGCTGTTAGGGCTGGGCATTTCGGTTCGGTTTAACCGAACCGAACCGAACCAAACCGAACCGAAGCGGTTTGGTTCGGTTTGGTTTCAAACCGAAAAACCGATCGGTCCTAAGATTTGAGAAACCGATCGGTTCGGTTTGGTTCGGTTTAAAACCGAACCAAACCGACAAACCGATCGGTTTTTTAAAAAAAAAATAAAAAAATATATAATATATATAATAACTAATAATATATATAAATAAACTTTAATATAATCTAACATTCTAAGATCTAACCCTAATTTCCAGTTCACCCTTACCAGTTACGACAACACTTCACGCCTTCACGTATGCCATCGGTTTGATATGTGAAAAAGGAGATGTGCAACAAACATCAAATGAGTTGGATATATACTTGATGGAAAAGATTGAAATGCCAACTCCTAATAGATTGGGTATGCAATTTGATATTTTGTCATGGTGGAGGAAAGAAAGTATGAAATTCCCAATCTTGTCACAAATGGCACGTGATGTTCTTGCAATGCCAGTTTCTAGTGTTGCATCAGAGTCTGCTTTTAGCACTTCGGGCCGTATTTTAGACCAATATCGGAGTTCTTTGACACCGTATATGGTAGAGGCATTGATTTTGACACAAGATTGGTTACGGTCTTCACTCCAATCTGATTCAACAGTAAGCCTCGCTCAAATATTGGAAGAAACTCAGTTTATGGATATGCTTGCAGAAGGTAAGTTACAATTTTATATTTTTTTATGAATTTATGTATAGTATATACTATATTGGTTTATGCTTCAATATTTTATTATTTTAACTTGTTTTTGAACCTTTTGTTTTGTTGTACAGAGATTCGCAAATCAACAGGGCAACGTCATATTGATCTGTGACCGTGATGATGGATGAACAACTTAACAACCTATGAGTTTGGAATTCGTTTTGTTATGTTGATTGTTTTTGAATTGTTATGTTGGTATCCTTTATTTAGATATTAGACTTTGGATTTGAGTTATTGATTCATGTTTGTAATGTTTGAACTTTGAACTTTGGATTCTAATTTCTAAGTATGTGATGTTTTGGTAATTAGATTGCTATTAGTATGGGATGTTAGTATTTACTATTTAGTAGTATGTTTAAACTTTAAATTTTTATTTTGTTATATAACGTTTATATTTTAGATGTGGATTATGTGAATAGGTATTGTTTGGTAATTGGTAGTATGTTTGGAAAATTATGAAATGTTGAAATTTGATGAATGTAATTCTCGTAAAGTCTTAAACCGAACCGAAGACCGAACCGAATTAAATCCGAACCGAAACCAAACCGATTGAAACCAAACCGAAACCAAACCGAACTACAATGTTAAACCGAATGGTTCAACTTTTTCTAAAACTGAAAAACCGAAACCGAAACCGAAACCGAAAAAACCAAACCGAAAACCGAAGTGCCCAGCCCTAGTAGCTGTATTTTCACCAACTAATTTAATAAAGTTTATTTTGTAAGTAAATGTAAAATGGATATTAACTAAAATCTAGGTAATATTGTTTTTATATTCACGTATTAACGTAATAACATTGATGGGGGTATGGACCCCGGCCCAAGAAGAGCAAGCCCAAAAGGTGAAGTCCAGGAAGGATGGAAGAGCCCAGAGCGAGTAAGGCACGACCCAGTAGATGAAAGTTTCGACCAGTAGCAGAGCCCGACAGAGGCCTGGACCGAGTCCGGGAGTCGGCCCAGGCCCGGGGTAAAGAGAGGACTCGGCAAGAGCCGTTGCGCGGCATTTAAGGGGCTCAACCAGTGAGCCGTTGAGAGGCCCAAAGAGCCGTTGGCCGGCCCAGTAACGGCACCCAACGGCCTTAAGACATAATTAGCCCCTAATGACCTTTTATTACGTTGTAACTCAGTTTAAAGGAGGGCCTGTTATATGAAGGCCCCTCCGTGAATGTAAAAGGGGCGAGTCCATGCCCAGATAAGAGAGAGACACCATTTTTGCTACTCCTGTTCATTATTTCCATTTTCAGAGCTTTTTTGTTGAAAGGTGAATCCACCGACCAAAGGTTGTGTTGGACCTCCCTGGGCCCAAAAACCCTAAACGTACTCAGCACCAGGTATACTAGTAAGTCGTTCTTTGAAAGCAGCCGAAACGCGATACACGCCCTTGGAGAAAATCTTTTACGCTTTGGTGTTCACCGTGCGCAAACTGGCACCCTACTTCCAAGCCCACACCGTTCGAGTCTTGACAGATCAACCCCTGGGAAGCGTGTTACGGAATCCCACATTATCCGGTCGGCTCGTAAAGTGGGCAGTAGAGCTGACCCAATACGGAATCGAGTACCAGCCTCGCCCGTCAATCAAGGGACAGGCCCTGGCCGACTTCTTGGTCGAGTGCACTGCAGGAGAAGAAGACAAGGACGCCATCTCGGAGGGTGGCCCCAGCGAATGGTGGGAGATGCACGTGGATGGAGCGGTGAGTCGCCAACATTGCGGTGGCGGAGTCATGTTGATTACCCCTGAAGGGTTCAGGCTTTATTACGCTCTGAGTTCTCTATTCCAGACATCCAACAATGAGACCGAATACGAAGCTGTATTGGGTGGTCTACGACTCGCCAAGACATTAGGGGCAGGATACCTACGAATCAAGACCGACTCTCGTCTGGTGGTGGGGCAAGTGTCTGGGACCTGCGAAGCTAAGAACGCCCGGATGGCTCAATATAAGGAGAAGACGGTAGAGCTATTGAAGGGATTCGGTGCCTACGAGATAGAGTATATCTCGCGAGCCGACAACACAGAAGCAGATATACTGTCGAAAATCGCTTTGGAAGGCGTGCCGGATCATCTCGTCAGAATCTGCCAAAAGGAGGAACTGGTCCGACCCAGCATAGAGGAAGCGACCCTAGAGATCCAGCAAGTGACAACCGAAGAATGGGACCGGGTGAAGAACCCTGAGATGTTCTGGATTGAAGATATTCGACGCTATAAGGAGAAGGGAGAATTGCCAAAGGACCCCGGAGTCGCCGCCCGGGTCCGCCACAAGGCTCCGTCGTTCGAGATTATTGATGGACAATTGTACAAACGGTCGTTTGGGGGTCCCCTCCTCAAATGCTTACTCAGACCTGAGGCGGAGAAAATAATGGACGAGGCACATCGTGGAATCTGCGCAGCCAACCAGGGCGCCCACACTCTCGCCCGGAAGCTAGCTGGTTGTTCAAGGCTACTACTGGCCCACTATGATGAGGGACTGCATCGAGTGGATAGCCAAATGCATGATTTGCCCGCATTCGCTCGAAAAGATACTCAGCCAGCTACTTTCTACACGCCAGTTACTACGGCCATCCCATTCGTGAAGTGGGGTATTGACATGTTGGGCCCACTGCCAGTCGCCCCCGGACGTTTGAAGTTCTGTGTGGTAGCTATCAACTACTTCACCAAATGGGTTGAGGCTGAGCCACTAGCCACTATCACCGAATATCAGTGTCGAAGCTTCTTGTGGAAGAAAGTAATCTGCCGCTTTGGATTACCTGAGCATGTGGTCAGCGATAACGGCCGACAGTTTGACTGCCAACCCTTCGCCGATTTTTCCCGACGACATAGTATACACTACACTAAGGTGTCAGTCGCTTACCCCCAGGCCAACGGACAGGTCAAGAATGCAAATCGTACAATCGTAGACGGAATCCGAAAAAAGTTGGAAGACATTGGAGGAAACTGGGCGGACGAACTTGACCGAGTTCTATGGGCCTACCGAACTACTCAGAGGTGGGCGACCGGTGAAAGCCCGTTCTCCTTAGCGTATGGCTTCGAGGCCAAAGTTCCAGTAGAAGTCGTCGAGCCCACCCACCGAGTCCGCAATTACTCAGATGAAGGAAACGAGGAGAGCCTCAGGATTGAAAAGAACTTCTTAGAAGAGCGAAGGGAAGCCGCACATGCCCGTATGGTGGAATATCAGCAGGCCGTAAAGAGATATTGGGATCGGAGGATTCGCCCACGAACCTTTCAAGTAGGCGACCTCGTGCCACGAGATCGACAGGCGAGCTAGCCCACGAAAGGAGGAAAGTTCGTGGTCAAGTGGGAAGGGCCTTATCGCATTGCTGCTATGGTCCAAGCCGGCACATATAAACTGGAGACATTGGAGTGGAAGCCCGTCGACCGGATCTGGAATGTTACTCACTTGAAGAAGTTCTATCAGTAAAGTGAAGTTCTATCAGTAAAAGGTTAGCTCCGTGTATTCACTTGAGGCTCAACTTTGAATAAATATTATCGCTTTCCGCATCTTAAAAATAGTTTCTGAGAAAGAAAAAGCCTAAAGGGTCGCCTCGACTGAGGGACTCGGCGAGAAAAGATACGGAACAAGGGCCCAAACCCTTAGACGTTTCCGAGAAAAAACATACAGGAGTCACCTCGACTGAGGGACTCGGCGAGAAAGTAAAGAAACGACGGGGCACTGATCCTAAACAGTTTCTGAGAAAGAAAAAGCCTAAAGGGTCACCTCGACTGAGGGACTCGGCGAGAAAAGATAGGAAACAAGGGCCCAGACCCTTAGACGTTTCCGAGAAAAAGCCTACAGGAGTCGCCTCGACTGAGGAACTCGGCGAAGAAGTAAATAAACGACGGGGCACTGACCCTAAACAGTTTCTGAGAAAGAAAAAGCCTAAAGGGTCACCTTGACTGAGGGACTCGGCGAGAAAAGATAGGAAACAAGGGCCCAGACCCTTAGACGTTTCCGAGAAAAAGCCTACAGGAGTCGCCTCGACTGAGGGACTCAGCGAGAAAGTAAAGAAACGACGGGGCACTGACCCTAAACAGTTTCTGAGAAAGAAAAAACCTAAAGGGTCGCCGCAACTAAGGGACTCGGCGAGAAAAGATAGGAAACAAGGGCCCAGACCCTTAGACGTTTCCGAGGAAAAGCCTACAGTAGTCGCCTCGGCTGAGGGACTCAGCGAATCAAAAAACTAACGTATTAGGAGTCACTAGGGCGTAAGGATTCAATAGAGGCAGTCGCAGGGCATAAACAAAGATTGCATAATGAGAAGAAAAGTGCGAGAAGAGCTTTAAAAAAGTTTTCATTCATTAAAAGGCACGAATAGGAGACCTGCCCTTACAAAAAGATTATTAAAAAAAAGCGCTAGACTATGGGGGAGGGGGTGTCGACGTCGACTTCCTCGACTCGTTCTTCCGCCGATGTTCCAGCTGGAGGAGCGGGTGAAGGGTCTTCCGCCGGAGGGAGCGGCTCAGTCGACACTACCGGACTCGCCACAGGAGAAGCCATTGGATCAACAGGTGCGTCAGCGACCGACAGAGGATCAAGTACCGGCTTGAAACCCCAAATCTCGGGAGTGAAGGTCGAGTCGCGAGCCAGCAGGAGGGCATGGATCTCCATCTGCGCTTCACGATAGCCCATGCGGTAATCGCGCTCGCCCAGATCCAGCAAGTATTCATCTCCTTCGGGAGTCGCCAACCACTCCTTTGCCACCTCCTCCTACCGACTGGCCACCACCGACTTCACGTCTGCCTTGAAGGCAGCCGACTTCTTGTAATCGGCTACCGAGGTAGTGGCAATGGTCGCCACCTTGTCCCGCTCTTCCTCCCACTGGTGGGAGACTCTCAGCAGCTCGGCGGTGTGGACCTCCCTCGTCTTGGCGTAAACCGCATGTTCCTCTTGTCGGGCCTCCTCTGACTAGCGTAGACGAGTGGTGAGAGAATGCATCGTGGCCTTGAACGCCCGCATCCGTTTCCTCAATTCCAGCTGGAAGGTGAGGTTCTGGGAAGAAGGAAGACACGTTAGCAACAGTTGGGAGAGAGGAAATCAAAGAAAATGCCTGGAATACTTACGCGGTAAGACTGTCGTAGGGAGGCCTCCAGGATGTACTCGTCCTACATCTGGCTCGCCGTCTCGAAGTCTTTAGGAAGAAGGACGTGCTCGGCCCAGTTCTGGACCGAGTAGTTGCCCTGCCAGATCTGGGCATTTTCTTCGAGTTCCAGACCTAGTCGAATCTTCTTGGGGGCCGGCGCGTCCGACTGCTCAAATGGCCGCTTGGAGCTTGGGCTCTCAGTTGGGGGCGGAGGCGGCAGCCTAGAGGGAGAAGCAACGGGAGACGGCGACAGATCCACCATGTTCCTCGGTGGAGGTGGAGTCGCCCTGGGAGCCGAAGAAGGAAGAGATGGGGAAGTCGCGGGAGCACCCGTTGCTCGCTGAGACAATCGGCACCTCATCTTCTCTATGCAGTCAGCCATGTCCGGCGTTGGGATCTCAGCTTCGTCCGAGCTCGTGGAGTCAGAATCATACGGACCTGTATAAAGAAGAAGTAAAGGATCAGCAGTCGGGCTAAACAAGGAAACTACGGAAAGAAAGGTCACAAAGAGGCTACCTGTGGTGGCCGCGCCGGCTGGCAAAAGGCCCCATTTCTCCATGACCAATACTTGACAGAGTAAGGTCCCAAGCTCTTCAGGAACTCGGCACCCTAGATCAGGGTTTGAAGAGAGCAGTCGGCCATATGGTGGGAAAGGCGAAGGCAGTGAAAGAGGGGCGGACGAAAAAGAAATAGGGCTTCCAGTTCTTTATGGAATCTGGAAGACCCTCGAACAACTGACGCCAGGACGGGCGGAGACCTGAACGAAGCCTGGGGAGTGTGAACCGACCTTGTTCACCGTAAATAGGCATCTAAATAGATCCAGGTCGGGCTCACAGAGCCACCAGTGACGTAGGTTGATGAAGCAGGTAAGAAGGCGGTGCGAGTTGGGTACTAGTTGACCCGGAACCAGATTATAATGGCGGTAGAAAAGAGAAAGAAAATGAGAGGGTGGTACTCGGAAGCCAAAGGCCACCGAGTGCAGGTGAATACTGATGCAACCCTCTGGCGGGTCATAGATTAGCCGGCTTTCCGGAGGGAAGACGGTGGCTGAAGGCCCAAGAAGAAAACAGGCCATGTAGAGGTCCGCCTCAGAAACCTGCGACGGAAGTCCCGCCGGCCGGGGTATGGAGTCAAATTTACCCCTCGACCGTTGGGCGCCCTCGGGAAGAGCCGCCACCGTCGTGAGAGGGGCTGGGCTCAGAGGAGTGACCGCCCCCGAAGATGAAGGGGCCGGTTGAGACGAAGATGCCGATGGAGGACCAGACGGGATCTCCATACGGCGAGGAGGAGTGGAAGATGAAGACGAGGAAGTGGAGGCGGGAGACTCCGCCGAGCGGCGAGAAGGAGAAGAAGAAGGAGAAGAAGGCATGGTACCAACCTGAGTAAACTCCGGTAAGAAGAGACGCAGGAGAAGACCAAACTGGATCTCGGAGGTTTTTTGCAGAAGATATGGATGAAATGAGGAGAGGAGGGAAGACGGAGTATTTAAACGAGGGAAAATCCCAAGAGACTGCCACGTGTCATGCATCCACTGGAGGATAGCAAGGGTCGATGAGATGTGAAGGAACATTTGCAATTAATGCCCTCGAGAAGCGGAACGACGGTTGAGGCCTAGGGTTAGCCTATGACGGTGCGTCTGGCCTAGGTCTAGGACGAGTAGAGATGGCCCAGCCTATTGACATAAGACCCATCGTAGGCCACGGCCTCTGGGCTGCCTGGGTACGGGTCGAAGGTATCTCAAGAAGGGTCACTGGGCCAGGCCCACCAGTCGGCATAAGTAGCTCCGGATGAGCAAGGCCGAGTCCATTGGTCGAGTCGGGAGTCGACGTCGACCTCTCGTTGTACGAGATAAGGCGAGAGTCGGCTAATAAGAAACGTAAAGTAGTGGGCAATGCATGACAAGTAAAAAGACGAAAGAACGACAATTTATTAATCATAGAGGGATAAGGGCCTGCATCTCGGCCAGAGTTACAAAGTAAAAGACAAGTCACGGATCAGTCTTCTCTTCCGCAGGATGAGCAGGAGGCGGACCTTCCAGGAAGAGCTGAGGACGAAAGGGCGGAGGAGTCGGAACCGACTCCAGCACATCATCCAGGTAGACGGCAGGCTTCCCGTCATCAATCATCTGGAGGGGCCTCTCAATGGCGCTGGGAGACATAGCCACCCCGAAAAGAGGAGGAACCTCCAACACCTCTTCCTCATCCGGCGTTGGATCTTCCACTACGGGCTCCACTCGGCGCTCGGTCGAATCCATGGGAACCAAGTCTAACATATCCGGAGGCACTACGATGGGATCTGAGGTCGAGTCGCCCACCAGATGTCCACCGTTAGCTAGCCTCTGAAGCCTCACCTTCTTCAGACGAGCGTGTTCCTTGTTGCGAATGGAGACAGAATTCAGGAATCTTGGTTAGAGAATGGTTCCATCAAATCCGCTTGGGAAGAGCGAGATTCGCACTTTGACTGAAAAAGTAAGATCTCCCAGGGATACGGGAAAGGTCGCGGATGTCAAACCTTAGGGTCTGTCATCAGGTTGACTCGGAGACCGGTCGACCAGTGAGCTTGGGCGAGTGAAAAACAGAAATCTCGAAAAGAAATAAAAAATAGTATTATTAATCAGAAAGGCGGTACGCAGATCAAGGAGCTTATTACATCAACAAATAAAATATATAAGTGCTCCTTTCGTAGCCCTCCCTTGAAACCTCGCTGGCAGACTCCGGTTAGCACGATCACTCGTTGAGGGAAGAAGGCTCATCCCTAGAGAACATCTCCTCCGATGGTCCGGTAGGAGATGAGCAGAAGGAATCCCAGAAAGCAGGCATAATAGGCGGCACGACTGGCACCTCATCGTCTAGGTATAATGATATGAGCATTTTACACTCATATTTTAGGTACATTTTTATAATATTTTCGTATTAATTATTTCATATTATTTAACAATTAGTTATTTTTAGAGTTTAACAATTTATGAACTAAATATAATACTAAATAAATATATAATATATTATAATATATATGTATATACTACGTACCATCCTACTACTACTACTAATAATAATAATAATAATATATAATATATCTAATAAACAAATATATAGAATACATGTATATTACGTACTACTAATAATATAAATATATATAATATATAATATATTATAGTATTTACTACGTACTACATACTATACATATA